TTTCCAGCAAGAACTCATCTATGTGGTCTGTTATTAAACTTTCCAGTATTTTCCCAACTATAGAAGTTAAACTAACAGGTCTATAATTACTTGGTAAAGATTTTGACCCCTTTCAAATATTGGCACCACATTGGCCTTACGCCAATCCAGTGGTACTATGCCAGTCATTAAAGAGTCCCTAAAAATGAGAAGCAATGGCTTTGAAATGACAGAGCTCAATTCTTTAAGAACCCGTGGGTGTATGCCATCCAGTCCAGGTGCAAGAACACAAAATGCACCGCAAAACTCACTGCAGAAACAAATCATATGCCAACTGCATAGATGTGAACCTAGCCTGAAGCTGTGTAAGGGGTTCTTTACTGTTAGAACAGTAAGGATGTAGAATTCCTTTCCACAGTTATTGGTGTCAGCTGGGAGTGTAGATAACAAAAAAAAACTTTTAGATGAGTTTTTCAGTGAACACAATATTCAGGGATTTGGACACCAATTCACAAAAAGAACATTGGGGAACTGGAAAAAATACAGAGAAGGGCAACCAAACTGATAAGAGGCATGGAGGAGATCAGCTATGAGGAAAGATTAGAGGAACTGAATGTGTTCTCTCTTGAGAAGAGGAGATTAAGGGGGGATATGATCTCCATGTATAATACATAAGGGGGGGGGATATGATCTCCATGTACAATACATAAGGGGGGATATGATCTCCATGTATAATACATAAGGGGGGATATGATCTCCATGTATAATACATAAGGGGGGATATGATCTCCATGTATAATACATAAGGGGGGATATGATCACCATGTATAATTCATAAGGGGGGATATGATCACCATGTATAATACATAAGGGGGGATATGACCACCATGTATAATACATAAGGGGGGATATGATCTCTATGTATAATACATAAGGGGGGATATGAGCACCATGTATAATACATAAGGGGGGATATGATCTCCACGTATAATACATAAGGGGGGGGTATGATCTCCACGTATAATACATAAGGGGGGGGTATGATCACCATGTATAATACATAAGGGGGATATGATCTCCATGTATAATACAAAAGGGGGGATATGAGCACCATGTATAATACATAAGGGGGGATATGATCTCCACGTATAATACATAAGGGGGGGGTATGATCACCATGTATAATACATAAGGGGGGATATGATCACCATGTATAATACATAAGGGGGGATATGACCACCATGTATAATACATAAGGGGGGATATGATCTCTATGTATAATACATAAGGGGGGATATGAGCACCATGTATAATACATAAGGGGGATATGATCTCCATGTATAATACAAAAGGGGGGATATGAGCACCATGTATAATACATAAGGGGGGTATGATCTCCATGTATAATACATAAGGGGGGATATGATCAACATGTATAATACATAAGGGGGGATATGATCTCCATGTATAATACATAAGGGGGATATGATCACCATGTATAATACATAAGGGGGATATGATCTCCATGTATAATACATAGGGGGGGGGATATGATCTCCATGTATAATACATAAGGGGGGATATGATCTCCATGTATAATACATAAGAGGGGATATGATCTCCATGTATAATACATAGGGGGATATGATCTCCATGGGGGGATATGATCACCATGTATAATACATAAGGGGGATATGATCTCCATGTATAATACATAAGGGGGGATATGATCTCCATGTATAATACATAAGGGGGGATATGATCTCCACGTATAATACATAAGGGGGGATATGATCTCCATGTATAATACATAAGGGGGGGATATGATCGCCATGTATAATACATAAGGGGGGATATGATCTCCATGTATAATACATAAGGGGGGGATATGATCTCCATGTATAATACATAAGGGGGGGATATGATCTCCATGTATAATACATAAGGGGGGATATGATCACCATGTATAATACATAAGGGGGATATGATCTCCATGTATAATACATAAGGGGGATATGATCTCCATGTATAATACATAAGGGGGGATATGATCTCCATGTATAATACATAAGGGGGATATGATCTCCATGTATAATACATAAGGGGGATATTATCACCACGTATAATACATAAGGGGGGATATGATCTCCATGTATAAATACATCAGTGGTTCATATAGTGAACTCAGTGTAGAGTTATTCACCCTGAGGTCATCACAGAGGACAAGGGGGCGCTCTTTACATCTGGAGGAAAAGAAATGTAATCTCCAAACATGGAAAGGTTTCTTCACAGTAAGAGCTGTGAAAATGTGGAATAGACTCCCTCAAGAGTTGGTTCTGGCCAGCTCAGTGGATTGCTTTAAAAAAGTCCTGGATTCTTTCTTGGATACACAGAATATAACTGGATACTAATATTTATAGGTAAAGTTGATCCAGGGAATATGCAATTGCCTCTTGGGGGATCAGGAAGAAATTTTTTCCCAGCAGGAGCAAATTGGATCGTACTTTGCTGGGTTTTTTGCCATCCTCTGGATCAACTGTGGGTATAGGATTATAACTTTTTTTTTTTTTAATGGTTGAACTGGATGGACTTTTGTCTTTTTTTCAGCCAGACTAACTATGTAACTATGGATTATGAACATGGTAATAACATAACAAAACATGCACTCAGGTTGAGCTGGATGGACTGGTGTCTTCATTGAACCTTACCAACCATGTAACTATAGTGGTGGATGATGGGATTATCGGTTATCTCCTTGTGCTTGAAGATTCCATTGGCCACGTAAAATAACATGGAATACCAAGAAAGCCTTGACAAGGTACACAGGGCCAATGAACGCGCACGTCGTATGCCTCGAATTTAGGGCAGATTCAGCCAAATGGTTAGAGCGGGACCAGACGGAGTAACTCGGGGAATACTTCATGGTATCTGCGCCGTGTTTCGCTAACATCCTTTGAGAAGCCTTCGGGGGCCTTTTTCAGGAGTCAGGACCTCAGTGTAATATACAAGTTGTGATTGTGATATTTCCCTGGATGACTGTACTTTACTGTTCCGAGGTCAGAGGTCAGCAAAGGTTCGGTAGTTGCAGCAATGCTGCCTGTCATCATTAATAAGTACAAAGAACTTGCTTTAAAAGCCGCCTTATAAAACTTTAAAGGGATTTGGAAGCTTAAGTGAACTTCCCAACGTCTTCAGGGGCCGAGTGCATTTGGGTTGTCTACTTATATTAATTTCACAGAGTTTAAAGGGTCAAACAATGCACTTGGCAATGATTACTAATGCATGAAACACCGAATTTCATGCTGTTGGATTTGTTTTTTTGTTTGTGTTTAAATGAATGCGAAAGGGAAAGAGTTGTTTGCGGGTCATTCTGGGGACAGAGGGGTTAACAAATGTATTTGTCACCACAGATAGAGTGCCAGTGAAATGCTGTATCATACTAGGGAGACATACAAGCCATGTGCTACAAAGGCAGCATAATGCTGAACAGCAATAATGAAAGGGCCACCGAAGCGTAGACATATGAACAAAAAGAAAAAAAGAATAATTACATCTGCTATAGATATAGATGGAAAAGGCCTCATAGAGTGATGGTAGTTGGGATGTTTACAAATGGATTAAAATGCAGCAATGTAGCTCAGTAGAATCCATCAGTTTATGTCTTCGGCCATTTTGGGCGTGGCTGAGACATAATCTCTAATAGTCCAATTTTTTTTTCTATAACAATCTTTATTGAACATTTTTAAAGGCAGTATAAACCAGAACACAGGAAGCAAAATCACTTTCACTGTTGCAAGCAGGGATATATTTCACATTATTATTATTATACAGGATTTATATAGCGCCAACAGTTTGCTCAGCGCTTTACAATATAAGGGAGACAGTACAATTACAATACATTTCAGTACAGAAGGAATAGGAGGGCCCACCCGTGGAGCTTACAATCTAAACATTTCACCACTCTAGTGCAGTGGTCTCCAAACTGTGGCCAGAGACCAAATGTGGCCCTTTGCTCACATTTATCCAGCCCTTGAGGCATTATTCTTTCCTCTGACAATTTTCTTCCCACTGATACCAACAATGGGGCACTTTCCCTAATCTGACGTCAACAATGGGGCACTATTTCTCTCACTGACACCAATAATGGGGCATAATTCTTTCCACTGACACCAACAATGGGGCATAATTATTCCCACTGACACCAATAATGGGGCATAATTGTTCCCCCTGACACGAATGATGGGGCATAATTCTTCCCACTGACACAGATAATGGGGCATAATTCTTGCCACTGACATTAAACAATGGTGGCATAATTCTTCCCACTGACACCACCAAACATAATTCTTCCCAATGATGGGGCATATTCTTCTTCCCACTGACACCAACAATGTGGCATAATTCTTCCCACTGACACCACCATGGGGCATTTCTCCCCCCAAAGATGGTAGTCATTGTTTAATTCTTCCCACTTACATCAATAATGGGGCATAATTCTTTCCACTGACACCAAATAATGGGGCACTGAGCAATTCTTTCCACTGACACCAATAGACCCCTGGGGCATACAAGAACATCTTTCCACTGACTAAACCCAACCCTGATGGGGCACTATATTTCTCCCTGCTAAAACCCTGCATTCAAATCTGGTCTCCCCGGAGCATCTGGTTTCCCCGGACCCTGCTTCACTATATCTGGTCTCCCCGGACCCTGCATTCACTATATCCGGTCTGGCCCATCCCTCCCCAACCCTGCAATATATCCGGTCTCCCCGGACCCTGAAAAAGTCTCCCCGGACCCCTGCATTCACTATATCTGGTCTCCCGGACCCTTTCAGAAATTGGAGACCCTGGGCTATTTCCTATATCTGTTATCCCCAGACCCTGAATATCTGGTCTCCCCGGATCCACTTAAATGTCTCCCCGGACCCTGCATTCACTATATCTGGGTCTCCCAGGACCCTGCATTCACTATATCTGGTCTCCCTGGACCCTGCATTCACTATATCTGGTCTCCCGGACCCTGCATTCACTATATCTGGTCTCCCCGGACCCTGCATTCACTATATCTGGTCTCCCTGGACCCTGCATTTCACTATATCTGGTCTCCCCAGACCCTGCATTCACTATATCTGGTCTCCCCGGACCCTGCATTCACTATATCTGGTCTCCCCGGACCCTGCATTTCACTATATCTGGTCTCCCTGGACCCTGCATTCACTATATCTGGTCTCCCCCGGACCCTGCTTTCACTATATCTGGTCTCCCCGGACCCTGCATTCACTATATCCGGGTCTCCCTGTCTCCCAGACCCTGCATTCACTATATCTGGTCTCCCCGGACCCTCCTCCCCAGACCCTGCATTCACTATATCTGGTCTCCCCAGACCCCTGGTCGGACCCTGCATTTCCTATATCTGTTCTCCCCAGACCCTGCATATATCTGGTCTCCCCAGACCCTGCTTTCACTATATCCGGTCTCCCCGGACCCTGCATTCACTATATCCGGTCTCCCTGGACCCTGCATTCACTATATCCGGTCTCCCTGGACCCTGCATTCACTATATCTGGTCTCCCCAGACCCTGCATTCACTATATCTGGTCTCCCCAGACCCTGCATTCACTATATCCGGTCTCCCCGAACCCTGCATTCACTATATCTGGTCTCCCCGGACCCTGCATTCACTATATCCGATCTCCCCAGGACCCTGCATTCACTATATCTGGTCTCCCCGGACCCTGCATTCACTATATCCGGTCTCCCTGGACCCTGCATTCACTATATCTGATCTCCCACAGTACACAGAACATAGATATGCAATTATTTTAATAAATATAAACTGCTAGATATCTTTTCTCATCAGCAGTATATAGCAGTCTTGTGACTTCTATCAGTGTCCAGCAGAGCACAGGTTAAAGCTTGTAGGAGGAGTTTTCATTCTCCCTTGATTATCCTATAAGGCCCTCTATCTGGACAGTGCTGATTGGCCTTGTGCTGATCACATGCACTCTCCAAAAAGGAAAAAAAAAACTATTTAGCAATACACACTAAGCTGAGCATGTGCAGCTTGCCCCCAAGGCTCTGTTCTATCAGCAGATGGATTGGGGACAGTAGAAGAAGTGGGGATCAGAGAAGACAGGATCAAACAGCCTTTTTACACAATGTGGCATATTAACCCCTTAGGTTCCATAGTGAGTATAACAAGCATGCTTTACTGCATATACTGACTGATTTTATTGTTGTGGGTTTAGTAACACTTTAAGGACCAGGCTTTTTCTAGCACTTTTTGTTCACATGTAAAAAATGTTTTACTAAAAAATTATTTAGAACTCCCAAACATTATATATTCTTAAAGCAGGAGTCCTAGAGAATAAATTGGTGAGTTTTGCTATTTTTTTTACGTCACACGGTATTTGTCCAGCGGTTTTCCAAATGCAATTTAAATATATATATATATACATACACTTTCTTAATAATAATGCAAAAAAACACAATACATAACCCAATTTTTTTTGCAAGCATGGGGAAACAATGGGCACTTTATTTATTTATTTTATTTGCACACTGTTGCTTTAATTGTAATCACTTTTTTTGCTGTGACATCCTTGTGACAGCAATAGGTATGTAACAGGTGGAGGAATTTATGGAGGAATCTGGGGTCTAAAAGACCCCACATCCCTCCTCTGCACTTAAAAGCATTCAAAACAGCAAGATCAGCATTTTTGAATGCTTCTGAGTTTTTAAAAATGGCACCGTTGACATCCGGGACATGACAGGCCATCACTTCTGGGTTACCATAGTGGAGAGCCGATTCCGGCTTTGTTCAACTCTCCGACCAGCTAGTGAACGCGTAGCTGGTTGCTTGGATCTTCCAGTGGGATGTGAGATCTTGAGCAAGCCTCGGAAGGTGGCAGGAGGGGGGTCTCCCCTTTCACTGCTTGTATTAGCAATCAAGCGACTAGTTAGCCACTCCAATTGTGATTACAAGAGAGCTGTCCGCTGGCTCTAAAAAATGGTACTGGGGTAATGCCTGCAGCTGCAACCACTTGAAGGTACCACCAGGTATGTGACTTGTTGGCAAGTGGTTAAGTGAGGAAAAGATGGAAGGGGGATTTAGGGGAAATAAGAGATGAAAAAAGGATGTAGTCCCCAGGAGACAATTCTCTATCAAGCCAAGAACTGGATGGGACTACAAGTACCAGGAGGACAGAAAGCTGCAGCAGGAGGAAAAAGGAAGCGAAGCCTGGGGCTCGGGACATGTTTACGTGGGATTTGAGGGGAGACCAGAGATTTAGCTGCTGAGATAGAGAGCTCAAAAGGCTTGAGAAAAGAGCCTGGGCAGCTCTGAAACACATATCCATGCCCCTTTGCCCTCCAGCAATGTCTGACATCACTTCCAGTCTGACCTGCACTCCACTGAGATCCCTAGCTTCTCGGTTCCTGGTTCTGAGCCTGCTGCCTGGATTCTTCCTCCTGGCCAGTGATGGTAGGCTGTTTTCTGGAATGATGTGATCCACCATCCATCCACATGAAATCTATACTGGGATGTTCTTATGACAGGCGCCATATATTGTTACCTTGGTTAGTTGTCTATTGTCATTTTATTATTAAAGACTTTCTAATGCTACAGTTAGGTGCCATCTGGTGTTTCTTTCTGAGTTGAAGAGCTGTCTGTTGCTTGTGTTCACTTCAGCGTCGAAGACATACTGAGCTGCCATATCTGCGTGGAGGGCACAGCTGTCGGAGAAAGGGGCATCTCTGGTTCCGTGAGAGAAAGGGGCATCTCTGGTTCCGTGAGAGAAAGGGGCATCTCTGGTTCTGTGAGAGAAAGGGGCATCTCTGGTTCCATGAGAGAAAGGGGCATCTCTGGTTCCGTGAGAGAAAGGGGCATCTCTGGTTCCATGAGAGAAAGGGGCATCTCTGGTTCCATGAGAGAAAGGGGCATCTCTGGTTCCATGAGAGAAAGGGGCATCTCTGGTTCCATGAGAGAAAGGGGCATCTCTGGTTCCATGAGCGAAAGGGGCATCTCTGGTTCCATGAGAGAAAGGGGCATCTCAGGTTCCAGGAGAGAAAGGGGCATCTCTGGTTCCATGAGAGAAAGAGGCATCTCAGGTTCCAGGAGAGAAAGAAGCATCTCAGGTTCCAGGAGAGAAAGGGGCATCTCTGGTTCCCTGAGAGAAAGGGGCATCTCTGGTTCCATGAGAGAAAGGGGCATCTCTGGTTCCAGGAGAGAAAGGGGCATCTCAGGTTCCAGGAGAGAAAGGGGCATCTCAGGTTCCAGGAGAGAAAGGGGCATCTCTAGTTCCATGAGAGATTTTTACTACTGGGTCCCAATTCATTTCCAGTGCTACTGGTGACTGAAGCCAGAGAGCAAGAGGAGGTTTAGTTACAGAGTACATGGTCATGAGAGTCTGTGGGCCACAACTTCCTTGCCCACTTCCGAAAGGGACAGTGTCTTCTTGCCTTGGAATACAGTTTTCATATTAATGCTCTATACCGTTGGATCCATTTAAACCTGAGCACCCCAACGCAGGAATTAGGCTTTTTATACTGCACTGGCAGGTGTGAGGGGTTTCGAAAGGCTTAAGGACCTTTTAGCTTCCAATACTGCCGCTTTAGTTAGGAGCTCCCTAGGTTCAGGGTTGAGGTACTTTAAGAGGTCCTCTCGTTGGTTGTGGGCTTGTACAAAATGATCTGCTATTGCCTATTGCTGTTGCCATTCTGTATGCTGATTTGTGGAAAGTAAAATAAAACCTCTTTCTGATGCCTTGATACTTCAGAGGGTGTGGCATTGCCAGAAGGGTCATTGTCATCCAGAATCAGGGACCCATACGTCAGTGGCTCCTTCAGGGCTAAGCTGTACTCATCCATCATAACTAATAGGAAGTGATTTTTTATGTACATAGCCATGTTGAAGGCCTCCATGTTTTAGGCTGAATTCACACATAGTGTGGTGACAGACGTTTTACTACATTGTAACATGCCTGTCACTGTAAGGACACAATGAAAACAATTATCCTGTGTGTCCTATTCACGCTACAATGCAACCTGGAGCTGTGGTACAGTTTGCTGCAATAAAATGGTGTTTATCTGGGGTGTGGCTCATATACTGTATGTGTCACCATGCTTGTGCTGAGAGCTCCGGGTCTTGTACTTGCGATCAGGCCCAATTCCCGATCACCTGATCGCTACTATGACCTGAGTATGAGGCTGGGTTTACACATATGCGGTGCGGTATTTTGCATGTGATTCACACAGGAACCGCACCGCATTCCTGTGGAAATCACATGCGAATTGTCTGCGGTGTGATTGGAGCCTTACATTTTGTATGGCTCCAATCGCGCCGCTGCTGCACCGAAAAAGTGCAGGAACCCTTTTTTTGGTCCGCACTAGAATCAGATGACTGGTATTCACACCTATGCGATCTGATTCTGCACATTGCACCGCTTTTTGCGGACCGATTTCACGGTGTTGTTAACTTAACATACACACCTGCAGCGGTTCTGTCAGGAATGGACTCAGCACTGGTGGTGGGACTCCCCTGCCGTGTGGGCTGCAGTACCAGGGCTGACCAGCGGGTGCTCTCAGCAGCCAGAAGCTCACTCCTGCAGTCAGCCAACACCTGGGGCTGATTGCAGGAGATGTATAAGGAATGGCCAGGCCTGTGATCAGGGCCTTGGTGTATGTTTCCCATGAGTTCCTGTACCTGGTATCCTGTGTTCCTGCCTAGTTGCTGACCCTGCTTTGATCCTGACCTCTGCTGACCGTCTCCTGTTGAACCCCTGACTTGCCTGACCATCCTTCTGCCTGATCCTCTGTACCGTGCTGCCCGTGAGTTACTGAACCCAGCTTGTGACCCTGACTATTCTCTGCCTGCTCCTCCGGTACCTCATTGCCCGCACGTTGCTGACCTGGCCTGCCTGACTACGCTTGACGCTACCCAGACGATCCATCCATCCCGCACGGATCCAGTCACTACTGTCCAAACCTGCCAGCCCCTTCACATCAGGCTTTCCCCTGGTACATACCCTCTACCACAGTTGGGTGCACTCAGGGGCCGCGACCTGGTCTCAGTCCTGCGCCAAGTCCATCCCCACCATCAGGGGCTCTGGTGAAAAGGCAGACTGGGGCTTAGACTCCGCGCCCTGGGGAATCATGTTCTGTGGGTCACTAGAGATCCCGCCGGGCGGTGCCTGACGGTACCTTACAGCCCGCCTGACCATTCCACCTCTCCAGCCATGACTACGCCTGTGTTCCTGAAGCCTGCTACTTGCCTGTGTCAGTCCACAGTCTCTGGTCATACCCGGATCCCCAACAGGTTCGCATGAACGGGGTGCGGTTCTGATGCAGTGCGGAATTCGCAAAGAAAACGCTGCAAATTCCGCACTGCATCAGTGTGAACCAGGGCTCACAGTAATTAGTCACTGTGCAGCCCACCTGTGCTTTTTCTTTCCTCTTGAATGGAAAAAAGATACATTGTAAACATACAAGAAAAATTTTATAATACATTTTATCTTTTTCTCCATGCTATAGGAGAAAAGTGGAAGGGTCCTTTCACACGGGCGTTCTGTTTTTTTTTACTTCAGTTCAGTCACGTTTTTTCAAAGAAAAAATGGATGAGTTTACCCACTTCCAGTACGGACACTTTCACCCCCTTCTAGTCCAGGCCAATTTTCAGCTTTCAGCGCTATTTGACAATTGCGCGGTCATGCAACACTGTACCCATATTAATTTTTTAGCATTTTTATGAGACAGATAAAACTTTATTTTGGTGGTATTTATTC